GGCAGCCTTTGTGTTTAAGGCGGCAAAAGCTGCCGACAAAGGAAGGAGCAACCTCTCGGGTTGAGAAGGAGGTGCTGGACTGTCCCTGCGAGGAGCAGAACAGGGGCAGGTTGTTGTAGGAATGGGTTTGGAGAAGAAAAGCGGTGATTATGGCTTTCCACAGGCGGGGGTCTGTTGTAGGGCTTCGTGAAACTGACTAGGGGGGCGGTACTTCTGTTCTGGGTCAGTAACTGGAAATAAACATCAGTAGCATTGTGCACAAAGTCACTCAAAAGTTCTCCCCAAATTCCTTTCCTGTTGTTCGAAGCACTGGACCAGGCTGATACTTGCAAGTGTGGTCTCGTCAGGTGCCTATCCCTTAAATGTTCCCTAAAGTAGTATTTTTAAATAATCTTGGCGCTACTTCAAGTAAACTGCTTAGGTTTGTTATACCTTAGTGTAAAGTATGCAACTTATATGGAAAGTGGGTGTAGTCAATTTGAAAGGAAAAAAATGGGACCATTTAATCTTTATAGTATGTTTCTGTACCTGCTGACTTTTTCTTAACCCTGTCTGTAACCTGATTAGATGATCCTGCTGTTGAAACAGCAGAGGAAGCTAAGGAACCAGCAGAGGCAGACATCAATGAACTGTGTAAAGACATGTTCAACAAAATGGCCACTTATTTAACAGGTGAACTGACAGGTAAGGCACTGCAATACTGACCTGCAAGTAAGTTTTTGTTTCTTTTCATTTTCCTTTAAAGAAATCTGCTGTGTAGTTTCTACAAACTATACCTATTTAGATCATATCTAGCCAGACTGGCAGTTCAAGCATGGCATGTTGTTAGACTACTAACAGCACTGCGATTAGTCATATTAATGAAATCCCAGAACAGCACAAATATTTTGCAAAAGAATTCAGTATGATACCAGCAACTTAAAAAAAAAATATTCTTTAGTCTTGCAGAAGCTTGTACATGGGAAAACAAACGAATAAACAAACAAAAGGGGTCTAGGTTAAGAAGGACTAGAAGAGGAGCACAACTAGTAGAACATGTGCAGCTGTTTTGTTTCTGAGTGAGAGCAAGGATCATACGTATGTTTTCCAACATTCATGCTTTAGAATAAACTGTTGGGCATCATTAACTGGAGAAAAATAAACTGCTCAGCAAGTTAGTGGATTCCATAGGCTCTAATTTTTAAAGCATTCTACAACACCACTGGATTATCAGTTTTGTAAACATAAGTGTTTAACTGACAGAAGAAGAGTAGAAATAGGAGGAATAAGTCAATTTTTCTCTCAAAAAAAAGACTTGCAAGTGAATGAGTGTTCATCAGTCCAGTTGATTTTTACAATTCACAAAATGTCATCTCTCTTTTTGTAGAGCATTACACTAATACCTGTTACACATCTGCACTATTCTTTGTTACATTTGGCTATTGGTTTGAAATATCTTGTCCTCTTAAAGAAGTCTGCACCAAATTCAAACCGCATCAACTTTTAATTAAAATAAACTCTCTTCTTTTTAAGCCACCAGTGAAGACTACAAACTCTTGGAAAACATGAATAAGTTGACTAGCTTAAAGTACCTAGAAATGAAAGATATTGCTGTAAACATCAGTAGAAATCTGAAGGATTTAAATCAAAAATGTAAGTAAACCAAATAAGGTAGGGGTATAACGAACAGTACACCTGTTTGGGAAATAAAGTTATCTAAGAGTCAGATAGTTGACACTCTATTAGGTGCTGAAGGAAAGAAAACTCTCTGAAATAGACATGCTACTATACAATGCCAATCTTGTGTATCATAGAATCATAGAATGGCATAGGCTGGAAGGGACCTTAGAGATCATCTAATCCAACCTCCCTGTCATGGGCAGGGACGCCTCTCAACTAGATTAGGCTACTCAAGGCTCCGTCCGGCCTGGCCTTGAACACTTGCAGGGAGGGGGCATCCACAACTTCTCTGGGCAATTTATTCCAAAGTCTTACCACCCTCGTACTGAAGAATTTCTTCCTAAGATCTAATCTAAATCTGTTCTCCTTCAACTTAAACCCATTTCCCCTTGTCCTATCAGTGAACACTCTTGTAAAAAGTCCCTCCCCAGCCTTCCTGTAGGTTCCCTTCAGGTATTGGAAGGCAGCTATTAGGTCCCCCCGAAGTCTTCTCTTTTCAAGGCTGAACAATCCCAGCTCTCGCAACCTGTCCTCGTAGCAGAGGTGCTCCAGTATATTTACGGCTATAAACTATGTAGACTAGCATAAGAGAAAATACATCTGAATTTATGTCCTATTTTACACCAAATTTTGGATCTGATAGGAAATAGCACTTCTTTTTATTCACCTTTTAATATTACTTGTATTGAGCTTAGCCAGTACTCTTAAGCATTTCATATTTTCCTGGAACATTGCTATCAGTGTCACCACTTGATTTTGGGTCAGAGGAAGGAAGGAGCTTCTAAATTGTTCATTTTGAAGAATGTCATGAGAAATTCTTGTGTTTCAACTGTTTCTTGGAAGTGAGTTGCTGACAATTGACAGATACAATTTTTCTGCTCTTTTAAGATGCTGCTCTTCAGCCATATCTGGAACAAATCAACCTAATTGAGGATCAAGTTGCAGCTTTGGAGCAGGCAGCTTATAAATTGGATGCGTATTCCAAAAAACTTGGTATCTGTTGTCCTCTACTGTTACTGCCTAGCATCATAGTCCCTTGCAAGTGTATTTCCTCTGTTTAACAAATCTGAGCTGCAGAGTTGCATATGCTGCTTTTGAGCAATGAACATTGTATGTGAAGTGGTAAGCATTAGGAAAAGATTAATATAACAAGTTATATGGAGGTGGACTGGTACATCTTATTTGTGAGGCTCGATTTCTCTTCTACAATATGCAGTGACCCAAATTTAAAAGACAGATGTTTAATCCTGCAAATAGAAGGATTCATAAAGTTCTACCAGACACTCAAGTCCCCTTGGCTTTAATTAATACTTGTTGTCTGACTTAAGCACACCTGGTTCTTAAAAATTTTAATTGTACACTTTTATTTGCCTGAATGCTTTAGTAAAGAATGACCCTAAGTGAGACTGTAAATTAACTTGAATTTTAAGATGTATAGCAGCTTACAGGATTCGAAGTTTTTACCTATCCAGGCCTGAAATATTGTTGTTTTTTCTTCTGCAGAAGCCAAGTACAAAAAACTGGAGAAACGATGAAATTACAGCAGTCTTTAAGTTGGAGTTGGGCTTTGAGTCAGACTGATTTCTGTTTAAGGCGCACAACAGCAATTCTTTATGTTGACAAGAATTTGATTACAGCTAACATCAAGACTGATAAGTTTTTCTATTTGTTGAATACAGTAGGCTGTATTCAGGCTGAATAATATTTTCGTCTTCTCAAGAGGCTCTGTTGCCTCCATTGTTCTGCAGTGAAAAGTAGAAGCCTGTCCCTAACCCCTGTGTTGATATATTGGCTGTCTGTGTATTAGTCCTATGTGCCACATGAAATAGTCTACCTAGGAAAAGCCCCCCACAACCTATAAAGACATTTTCCTTTAGTAGCAGCAGGACCTACACGTCATTTTTTTCCTTCATTGAGCTCTGCGTTGAGAAGATACTGGGGCCTTTGGGCTTATGAGCATCATATTGAAAACACTTCATTCTGGTATCCCTTTATCTGTTTGAAATAGAGAGACTAATTATTATAAATTTACAATAAAACAACTTGCTGCATTTGTCTCTCTGGAATCTCATATTCCTGTTGGAAAGATTATGTAAATTGTCTTTTTATTTTTCCAAAGGCTCTGTAAAGAAAGACAAACTCCTTCCAGCTACTGGAGATCCTAGAAGAGAACACATGTTTTAAACTCTGTGTCAAGTATTCCTGGAATTACATTCTTTGACTGGGCTTCAGGTGAAACTGCAGGAAGTGTTGCTTTATCACATACTCAGTTCACTTAGCAGATCCTTCCTCTACTTCAGCAATGAATTTTGATCTAGTAGTTTTTGAAGAGGCATGTTCAGCACAAAAAGCTGCTTCTCTACCAGATTAACTGTTCCAAATTGTTAATTTGGCAGAGCCCATCTTATTGAACAAGTACTCCTATTCCAAATTTTTTTTTGAGCCGTACCTGTTGACCCTGATTAGATCAAGCTGGCTTTTGAGTAAGTTGCAGCAGAGGAGGGTACAAATGCTGATGTAGGAAAGAAGTAGTTCAGAGTTCCTACAGGCTGTTTAGAATGTCTAGTCATGTGCCAGTGTGGTAAAGCCCGTAATGCTGTCAGTGTACAGCCACTGTAGATAGTCAAGATGGATACTTTTCCCTAGTGCTATTTAAAAGCAGTGAAGCAGATGACCTCTGAGAGACTTCACCATCACTTTAAAAATCAGGGGTTTGAAATAGAAAATACTATTCTATGATTCTCTGGCCTTGACTTGGGATTTGAGAGAGGGTGTAGTTCACTTTGATGAAAGGCCTTTTTGGAATGGGCATCTTTAAAGAACAGGATTGAGTCTCCAGGAGGTATCCAGCCATTTGCATCTGTATTGCTTTTATCTATAGTTAGCTCACAGATGACTTTTCTACCTGTGAAAGCAAATGAAACATTTTAGTATTGTTATCAAAGCAACATCCTCCAAGATCATCATCTTCTCAGGATTCATGGTGTGTTGGCAGTTCTGCTGGACAAGAGGACCTAGCCAGCCAGATGGAAAATTTTTGTGGCTAGAGTGTGGCATTTGAATGACAGCCTGATCAGTGGCCTGCTTGGTGATCTCTGATGTTGGGAAGTGGTACCACAAGGTGGTAAACAGTCTGTTAAGTCCTGTTTCTCCAGTGTTTCATGCATCTGTAGTTAATACAAGAGGTAGAGGTGAGTCAGCAAGACTCACCAGTGTTTTTAATCGTATTCTCCTTTCTCTGTCATTGTAGAGGAGAATCACAGATGTTTGGCTAGTGATGTAAAAGCTTGAGGGTGCCACTTGGAGTTCCTCTATTCCCTAGAAGATAAGGATTTTCATTAGAGCATATAGCACTTGCATGTGGCTGGGAGCTTAGTCCCTGATTCCCTGTACGTCCCCTCCCTGGCCCCTACCCATGGCTAAGAACAGAAAAGTTACTGATTCATATCAGGTTGGAAATGGTTCTGGATAGGTGGACATTACCTAGAGCTGACCATCCACTGAAATGCTTACCAGAGCAGGTTGTTCTAGGGTTGAAACAAGACCACTGATCTTCTGCGTCATGATCTCTTTGATTCCCAGCTCTTTCTGGGAAGATGGTGCTAGAGGCACAGAGCAGGTGCTGGCACACAAAGGGATTGTTCTCCACCGCAGGGATGCAGCTGACTCTGCACTCTGGCAAGGTGCAGAGGCCAAGATGAAGGGGTGACAGAGTTGTATCCCAAGGAGTTACAATGGAGAGCTGGCCGTCTGCTGTCCAGAGAATTGTGATCATCTCCATGTGATAAAAGTAATATCAAGCCTTAAGTGCCAGCGACTTGTCCCGTCACATGGCGGGAAGCAAAGTTCCGCTCATGGCAGATAACCTGCAAATCAAGTGTTGAACATAGAACAGAGAATGGCCTGGACGTGCTCTGTGCTCTGATGGCAGCACACCGCCAATGTAGTTGCAAGTCCACTCCCTTATTGGATGTGGACCATATGCTCAAACCCTCAATGGGAGTCATACTCCACAGATCCAAGCTGGGTACAGAACTGGATGTATGGCAGCACTGCTCTGCCTTAAAATGTGCCCCAGTCACCCTCCCTTTTCCGTAACGCATACTGTTCGCATTCCCGCTGGAATGCCAAACCTCATCGTTCCATAGTAAGAAGGATTCCCTGACACTGGGATCATCACAGCAGCCTTGCTGTGTCAGTTCCTGAAGTGGCCATGAAGAACAGCACAGCTCTCTTCTCTGTTTTGTGTTTCCATCCTCTAGCATTTTCAGCTGCCTTGGACCCAGTAGGGCACTTTTCCATCTTGAGGCCATGGGGCAGCACATAATAGTAAAGATGTTTCGGGGCTGCTAGTCCTTCTTAAAAGAAGAAGCAGCTATGTACCTCACCCTTCTTAAGCATGGTTTAACGTATGAAGCAGCAAGACTTTTCTTCCATAACGTGTGCCGGGAGCATGCTATTTTGCCAAAGGCAGCTATGGACATGACAGCAGCCCAGTAGGAAGTTTCTCTAACATGAGTGTTAGGTTTAAGGATTCCCAGAGTGTTTGGACAGAAAGGGCTGCACTCAAGGACAGGCTAGTGCTCGGCAAGCAAGAACACATTCTCAGGGGCACGAGGGCCCTTGGCAGAGAACTTGAAATTTGTGATTGAGCAGGTTGTCATTGTGCAAAACACCACTCTGGAGTACACGCATACTGACTGTAAGCCCTAATTGGCGCCCCTGAGGTCTCCAAGGACGTGTGAAAGCAGAGGACACCGTCAGTGTTGTGACTAAAATCGCAATGGTGCCCTCTCAGCATCCATGCATCCATTGCCGACCAGTATTGCTCTTCACCCCTCAATGCCAAAGGGATCAAGGGGACTTTGTGACAGTGCATAGGTAAATACGGTCACATGAAAGTAAAACCAGTGTGTCTCGTTCCCTCTGTACTTGCCTCACCTGGAGAGCGCTCAGTCTGCATGGAGCTTCCGGGCCTGCCCCATCCCTCCTCTTCTTATTCAGAGGCCCCGTGTCTGGTTTGTATGTTTATAGCAAGGCAAAGAGCAGGCTGAAGAGTAGGTTTAAATACACGCCATTGACAGTCCTGGTGCAGGCTGAAGAGTAGGTTTAAATACACGCCAGTGACAGTCCTGATTGGGTCTGGTTTTGTAGAACTGCTGGCTTAGCCACGTCTTGCTTTAATCACAGGTGCATTTGACAGTTGCTTTGCTGAAGACATCCACTCACCACGTGCAACCCAGCATGGTGTTGGAAGGTCTAGAACTCTGTGTGATCGGGACATGGAAAATTTCAAAGAAAAATAATATGGCATTTCTCTGCTCATGGTCTTTCCTTGACAGGATTGCAGGAGGGCCACCAGGGAGCGATGTGTCAGCAGAGAAAGCTTTGACCAGCTAAAGGAGGAAAGGCCAAGTAAGGAGCAAATGTTGTGTCTGTTGAAAAAGTTGCTTTTCTATGTGAGGAAAAATGCAATGCTATTTTAAAAATTTAAAGATGAAAACCTCCAGGAACACTGAAGATGGAAATCCATCTAGCCATGCATTGCCAGCGAGTGCTTGGTGTTTTCAGGTAAGAGAGCTAAGAAATAGCAAATTCCTTCACAAACTTTTGAGTATCCCACCTCCAGGAAGCAAAAATGGGAAGAGGAGCTTGTGCCACAAGTGAGTCTTCATTGGGAGAAAATTTTAGAGACTGACAACTTGACTGCCTGGAGGATTGAGTCACGGTGGCATCCCAGTTAGGCCGGGAGCTGACAGCTGTGTTGCCACTTCTGTCTCTGAGTAACTATTCCCATCTCTGCCTGAGGGCCCTCTGTGTGACTGGTGGAATTCAAATCACAGCAAGGATGGCAGGTCCTTGGAGAGTAGCACCACAGAAGAGGCAGCGCTCGGTGTGTGTGAACTGCATTGCACTGGGGAAATGTGTAGCCCAAAAGCAGAGGCACAACTTGATTGCTACTCAAACATTCCACCTGGAGAGTCTGTGAGAAGTTCCAGAGGAGATGCAGGGGTACAGGGTGAGGCTAAATCTCTCTTCTGCAGCATGCTATCAGAGGACAAACAAATAAGCAACAGTAATAGGCAGAAGACAAGCATACTGTGAAAGTATGATAGGGTTTGTTAATGCAAGGTTTGTTAATGAGTAACGTTTGTCCCTGCTTTCTGATACTACAGTAGAACAAAGCCGACTTTAATAAGGGTCACAAAGACTTTAAAAAGTAAAGCAGTTCATCCGAGTTTGTTGCCAGCGAGTGATTTCTTCTAGCCAGTATGTTTAATCCAGATGAAATGACAGCAGCTATTGGTTACCTTTGCACTGTTGTTTTTCCTGTAGGCTTCATAAAATGAGCCTCCCAGGATGCAGCTTCAGTCCTTCACCATTGCAGATCCCTGTTCCATGTTGCAGTGTAACCCCTGGGAGGCACAATTATTTTCTTGCTGGTTTGCATTGTCTGCCTCCTTGTCTGTTCATCATGAAGGATGATGTCTGAAATGGAGAGGCTGCCTCCTGGGCCATTTCGGGGACAGCTTTG